CATTACTTCTTCGTGAAAACCGATCCACCATATTAACGGGTCGTCTCTTTCCTCGCATCCAAGTCTTCGTCTGTCGTTTTGTCTCGTTACGCTTGGTTACTATTTCTTCTAACCTAGACAATTTTATCGATTTTTCTGCCATTAACAAAATCGTCATCGATATTTCGCGACGAGTTTCTTCTTAAAACACTTAGGAAAAAAATATAATATATATGGATCAGAATATATATGAATAAAAATAAAAAATATTTGACAAAGAGTTGGCACGCGACTGCTACAGTTGGAACCTTGATTTTCTCAAAACCATCTGTGGAAAACCTCGAGAAGGGAAGGATCGTAAAGGATGACCAGGGTTGTCACCTGATATATATCTTTATGGTCGCTCGAGCGAGCCCTCTTTAACCCCCTCCTCCACCTCTCTCCTCTCCTCATCCCTCTTTCTCTCTTTCTCTCGCTTACTACCCTAAAGGATCGTTTCCACTATCCAAAACGGACCTTTCTTGGGTTTTCCTCACTGAGGTGGTACTACCACTACCACCACCGTGTTGGTTTGCTATGAGCGAGCGTGTAAAAAGCGTTGTTGGAAGAGGGAGAATCGCGTAATTATGAGGATTAATCTTAAGTCCCGTAAAGTCCACCACTTGTGGAGCTTGTTCCCTTTTCTCTGTTTCGCGATATCTCGTTCTTGTCTCTCTCTCTCTCTCTCTCTCTCTCTCTCTCTCTCAATTCTTCTTTCGATAGACCGATAGAAAGAGAATTTTATCAAATAACTCGACAAGTCATTAACCCATAAAATGAATTCTAAAACTAAACTTCAACGAACTTTAAAGTATCGAATAAAATATCTTGATGAATATATCTATAAGAAAATAGTAGATTATACGTTGAGAATCAACAAATTTCGAAACTCTTACTTAATTCTTTAAATATATATATTATTATTTTTTTGTAACCATTCCCATGATGATTCTTTTACCCTTCGTCTCTTTTACATTTCGAGCACATAGGTATCATGGAGTAGGTAGTACGTACTCGTATGTAGAATGTCGAAGCTACAGGTGTCAGCGAGAGCAGTATTTTTCAGTGAGCGAGCTCACAGGGTATGGGCGATAGAAGAAGAGAGCGTAGGGTAAAGAGCAGACAGAAATGGGATGAGGAACTGAAAGAGGGAGCTAGAGAGAGAGAGAGAGAGAGAGAGAGAGAAAGAGAAAAAGACGTTTCTCCGCGGGAAGGGTAGCAGAGTGCCGGCACGCACGTTGAATCTGCTAAACGTTCTCGCTCGTGCGTGAAATGCCTCGATATCACTGTTTTATTTCGACTCGTTCGTTCATCGTTGCTCTTTCGCTCCCATGCAATTCCATCCTTTTTACCCTCGTCCCGTTTGCTACGACCGTTCGCTCACGCAACCCTTTCTCTTTCTCTTTCTCTCTCTTTCTCTCTTCTTGTCACTTGTTCTCTTTTCGTCCTCGTGCTCGCTCGCACAGATTTGATGACCCTTCGATGCGATTTTGCTTGATCATTGAAATCGCTTAGCAATGAATTATAACTCCTCTTCTCTTCTCCGCAGAAAAGTTTCTTTTTTTTGCGCGGTTAACTCGACGAGCATTCGAACAAAAATATTCACGAAACGTCCTCGAAATCAAACGAAGCCGAACGCAAATTAACCTTTTTCAAAAAAATACTTATTTATATACGTTTGAAACGTATTACTTTTCCCAAGTGGGCACTTGCCTGCCTGCCTGCCTGCCTGCTTTCCTGCCATTTCCCTCTCAACGAATATAATAATCCAAAGAATTCAATAGCTTGGCCCATGCAATTTTTGAATGAAAGAGAAAGGTAAATTTGTCGAGAGTATCCTCTCTCTCTCTCTCTCTCTTTCTCTCTCTGTTTTTTTTTTTTTTTCATAATAAAGAGATATTTTTGCGTTTGACAGGGAGCACGAATGGGGATAATGAAACGTCGATGGAAAAAAAAAAGTCGACGAGTCGATAAATCGCAGAATGGCTCCTCCGGGCGATTTAATTAATAATTATCGGTCCGAAAACGAACGCCTAGGCACAATGGCGATACTTCCTCCTTGGGTAATCCTCGGAAGATTAACGAGCCTGCACCGTCAGAGTATCCTCTCCCTCTTTCTCTTTCATTCTCCTTCTAACTCATTCCCTCTCTCTCTCTCTAATTCTCTCTCTCTCTCTCTTCCTTTCTCAACTCTCTCTCTCTCTCTCTCTCTCTTGTAGCCACAAGACGCCAGGGCGCGCCTTGCGGTGGTTGCGGCAAGAACCCCTCGCCGTACCGCATTAACGCAATTATGAATTTGTCGCGTTGGGATCTGACAATACAAGATGTTGCTACCATTCCCCTGCCACGACGTACCTCTCTCTCCTACCTCTTGTCGTTACATGGTCCCTCGCCTATATCTTCCGTGTCTACACTAAAACCAACGTTAAGTCCTATAAATATAACCCGCCGAACGTAATGCTTAAACACTGTTAACAGACGAAAGACAAAACCAACTTCGATGACACTTTATCTTCGAATCTAAGAAAATTCTTATCTTCTTTAATAAATAATAAATCTAATATAACAGTTTATATATTATAAAACCAACTGAATAAGATTCTAAATGTAGGTTTTAATATTTCTTCGGGTAACTAAACGAGTCCGATTTTCTTGTATACTCGTTAAATATTCTGACCGGAAGACTAAAGATCAAGTATAGTTTTGAATAACCCTAACTTTGTTTCCAAAGGGTGTCTTGGCGATAGTTGCAGTACTAGTAGCAACGGGTAGCACCAGCAGCAACTAACGGCAGCAAGAGTGGTTACAACGAAGATGGTGGTGGTGGTGGTGGTGTGCGGAATAAGAGCTATAAGAGAGAGAGAGGGAGACGAAAAGAGCTTTCTGATAGCGGTAGAGGTACCATGCGGTAGCATAGAACGGATGGAACGAGAGGATCGTTGCGGCTCGCCACAGGCAACTGCTGCGACCTGTTCCTCGCGACAAATTCCACCTAGCTCGACCGTGGTCTCTCTTCGTCCGTTCTCTTCGTCTACTTTCCATTCTCTTAGCCACATCGAGCCGAACTACCTTCACCACACTTACCCGCCATCCACCTCCTCCTCCTCCTCCTCCTCCTACCTTTATACCATCAACCATCTTCGCACACTTTGACTATCCACCAGGAATTTACAATGCGCGAGAAAATCAATCGACCTAACGACCGATAGAACAGCCGAGCCATGCAAGAAACCAAGGCTACCTACCCTTTCCCTTTCCCTTTCCTTTCCTTTCCTTTCCTTTCCTTTCCTTTCCCCCCTCCTCCTCCTCACCCTCCAATCCCATGCTACTCCTTCAACGGACCTGAGTCTGCCACGTTATAGGGAAATGGGTTGGCTGGTCTAAGCACGGAGCTTGGACGATGAGCTGTAGGAGAGTACCTAGGTCGACCCTTAATATCGTAAGAGCTGAATCCACGCAAACAACCCGGGTACGGTCCTAACGTAACCTTCGGTTAAGCACTGGAAAGCCCCCGGTGTGTTGCCGCTTCGACCGCCGCTGGCCCTATTATCGCTGCTAACTAATAAGGGACCTAATTGAAACGTCGGCCTTTTGTTTTCGATACTCGACCATGGGGCTCTCTCTCTCTCCCTTTCTCTCTTTCTCTTTCAAAAGGTTATACGATCTCGAAACCGTCTGAAACCATCCAGGGCCAATGGTCATCGAAAATGCTTCTTCGAGTACGAATCGTTTGTTTCAATATGTCGAAATACAATTACTTTAGTTTGTTTAAATTTAATTATTAATTAAATCCTATGGAATAATTTTTTCGTAGTATATATTATAGATAATCGTACAGGTATACGAAATCCCTGTAATATCTATGACTATTTTATTTCGAAAGCTTGTAATAGAGGTGGAAACAAAAAGTTTGATCAAAATAACGACTAGGAACAGATCATTTTCATTAGCTTTCATGTACTTCGTCGACGTGAACGTAGACGAACGGCGACAGCATTCACGTAGACGACGCAACACACGAAGAGGACTTATGTATTTTGTATTCTACGTGCACTAACGTACAATACATATACGTATACCTTTCTAGCTTACCCGATGCATGCCCACTCGATGTAGTAGGATATTATTCCTGGTGGACGCAATCATATTAGTTTCCAAAGTTATTAGAATATTTATGCGAACCCGTCGCGAGGTTATGCATGATAGCAGGGCCTTGCCCTCTCTTCTGTCTCGCGGTATCGAATCACCCATCACCAACACCACCAACACCACCACCACCATCATCATCGACTACTATTTGCAACCCCTACTACTACCAACCAGTGTTGGAGAGTTTTACCAGGATCTTTGAAGAAAAATCGTTTCCCTACAATTCTCATTTTTCTCATGTAATTTTTCTTCGATATTTCTTCTTCTGCGGATTTTTATTGTTAAACGAGTTTATTCGACAAATTTCACGAATCGACGTTTGACACTATCTTGCCGTAGAAAGAACGGAGAGAAAGAATGAAAGAAAGAAAGAAAGAAAGAAAGTAAGTAAGAAAGAGAGAGAGAGAGAGAGAAAGTAAGCGGTTTTTTTCGTAGAAAACTTTTGCTATTCTCCAATGTTCCTTTACGTAACTTCGAAGCACCGATGCACGAGACGGGATATCCCAGCGTTACGATATTAAACGCTAGAAGAGTAGTTTTTCCACGACGCAGAAAACTTTTCGTTCGCATGACAGAGAAACGAGAAGAAAAAGACGTTCGAGGGTGTGTGTGTGTGTGTGTGCGTGTGTGTGTGTGTCTGTTGCTCAGAAAGCGAGACGAAAGTGCTCGCGTAGTCTGCGTAGGCCAACGGAAGCGACGGCGAATATTCCTAAAATTCTTATAGACATGATTGAAAAAAATATGTTGCCCCTTCGGAAGCTTTTTTACAAAAAAAAAAAAAAGAAAAGAAACAGACCGACAAAGAGAGATTTGTGATGATAAAAAAATCTTACCTTGCTGGCGTGGGTTTAGACTGGCTATTTGCGAGACTGCAGATTGTTGTTGTGGATCTTCCAAAAGTCCGCTTTGCCGTGATTTGCTCAAGTACAACTGAAATAAAACAAATGAAAAACCATCATATAACATTACAACGATGTATCGAATTAACAATAAAAATTAAATCGAAAAACTTAATAATATATTGAAATCAATTGAAAGCTAGCATCCCCCAGTCATATCCCCTTTAAAATAAATATCTTTCAAATTCGATTATCTTAACTTCCTTTTTATCGATAAATAAAATAAAAAGAAAAAACGTCTCTCCTTTTTCTGTCATCGTTGAGCTTCTTTTTCTTGTCTTTTTTTTTTTCTCCTTTCACGATTTTGCCCTTACGTTTTGTCTTGATCTTAGCCTCTTTCGCCAATAAGGAAGTCCCTAACCGTCCGATCATAGGATTTGGGTAACCCGATCACGTACTAAGGGTGAACCATCTCCTTTAATATCAGAAACGATTCGGACCGAGTTGCCTCCGTATAAAATAAAGGGCTGACATGCGAGAGCATAGTGTGTGGAGAAACGAGGAAAGGAAGAGCAAGTGCTCTTGCTATGGGGATGCCTAGCACAAGCGAGTGAACGAATATACGAACGAATACGAACGAACGAACGAGAGAGGACCGTCGAGTGGAAGTGTAGTTTCAACACTGCGGTGAGGGATGACTGAGCGAGTCGGTTAAACGCGCGTCTTCTTTCATAAATTTCGAAAGGGGGCTTTAGGATAAAGCTTTAGAATACATCGGTCGATCCGTTATCCAGTCTGACGTAGGAAGATAGCGTTAAACGGAACCTTCTATGAATAGTTTTCTTCATCGAAATGGCTCTTTCATTATCGAACTTATCACTTTTTCCATATAACGACACATTTAGTTTTCTTTTTTTTTTAAACAAAATTATTGACAAAATTTTAATCGTACTTTTGAAATTTGAATATTGATTAAAACCGAAGGAAAAGAAAGAAAAGAAAAATATACTTCTCAATATAACGTAAGATCAGATAAATAATTATTGTTATTTATAAGTGTATGGGGTAGGAGTGGGTGGGGAGGAAAGAAAGAAAACTGATAAAATAAATATGTACGATATATTTTTATCGTTCTTAGGGTATCGTGAAAAAGATATTTGATAGGAAGGAAGGAAGGCTGTTGCTTTGCCTTATTTTGCGTCATACATTTGCACGTTATAAGAAAAGACACGCGGAAAAAAAAACTTACTGCGTCGAAGGCAAGATGCAATATGAAAGTAGAGGAGCGTAAAGGAAAGAAAAAAAAAGAGTGTTAGGAATGGTCATAAATACGTCTAGAAGATCGCACAAATCGCTCGTTCGAGGCCAATCTCCTTCGATGTTTTCCTACGAAAGATACGAGAGGGAACCCTTCTTCGTCTCTTCGAGGAGATACGCGCCAAGACATTTCCTTCCCCCATATACGCAACACATAGATATAGATCCATGTGTACGCATATAACGTCCAGTAATATAACACTTGCGATATGGAAAGGAAAAAGAGAAGGATGAAGAGAAAGAAGAAGCGATGGGAAACGTAAAGGGAACGCGGTTCTCGAGAGGCAAGATGGCTAAAGGAAAAACCAAACCAGCCAGAAAGCCAGTCCAATTTCTCAAACTTGTCCAATCCGCGTCGTATGCAAAATCAATCACTCGCTACCCTTACCCATATTCCCCCTCGTTGGCCATCGTCGTTGGCACACCGTAGAGAGAGAGAGAGTGGTTTTGTGATTTTCCGGAATTTAAAAACGTCCGAGACTATTTGACTTTTGGAATGAGCAAATGTTAGGTAGGAAAAAAAGAAAAAAAAAAAGAAAGAAAGGTTAGGTATCATTTTCTCGTCTCTTTGAACATTTCCAATTTCCATAGGTCGATCGAATCCATCCTAGTTAATCGGCACTCGATGAGTTTCCCAATCCGTAATAGTGATTTTCAAGGCCCCGCGACCATGGTAGTACAGCTCGAAAAAAGTAATTTGTCCTTTGGGACGCAAACTTCAAAGTATTCACGGTACATTTGTTACACGAGCGGGTTTTTTCTGTACCACTCTGCGTACTTGTGTCCTGTCCTTTTCTACTTTCCGTTCTCGCTTATCAGACTTGCTGATTTTTTCCCGTCGGAAAAACGTCAGACGTAACGTTGTCCGCCGTTAGCTTCGTCTGTCCACGTTTCTCGTTTGTCAGGATGCCCAAAGTAGAAAAGGCGAAGAGGGTTTTTGTCCCAGAAGGGGTGCGAAAAGTTTAGCATACGCATTTTGTACATTGAAATCTCGACACGCTCGTCCAACTTTAAATTGAAACTCGTCCGCCACCACCGTCGCCTCCGCTGTCGTCGTCGTCGTCGTCGTCGTCGTCATCGTCGTCGATTGCTCGATGTTCTTGTTATTCTTGTTGTTGTTGTCACGATCGTCGTATCATCTCTTAAAGCTAAACTGAGATTCATTTTTAGGCGAATCAAAAATTAAGTCAAACGAGCGAAGAGAAAAGGGAGAATTCTTTATTTCGACATTTTCTTTTCCAAAAAGAGAAAAAAGAAAATTAATTCGATCAAAAGTATTGCTACGCTTTTCTCTATAAGATTTTTTTCTTTAACATTTATTTCCTCCCCGACATTTTGTTTTCTCACAGAGATAATCTATCTATCTCTCGCACTCTTTCCTTCGTTACCGTACCTTCCATCGTGCGCGAATCACTTCTCTTTTAGACTTCGAATTGTAATTAACATTTGGTTCTCCCATTAGTGTAATTAAAGTGCCATTCCATAATCTAGGAGGTAGGCGAAAGAGAAGAGGGGCACCTTATCTTTCAGACTTCAGCCTCGGCTTGCGGGGGTTGTTTCAAACCCCGCCGGGCGTCTCCCAGCCCCTTTTTCGGGTAGAACGACCGTTGGTGGGTGCTTGTAGTTCCTTCCTTCGGCGATAACTCCTTTCTCGAAAAGGACTTCCCAAGCTATGAAAGAGGAAATAAGAGAAGGAACGAGATGGAGAATGATAGAACGAGAAAGAAATAAGGGGAAAGGGGGAAGAAAAAAAGAACGAACGGACGATTAAAACGTTTAGAAATCCGATATCGAGTCGTTTTCTGCATCGAATACGTCTGTCTCGTGTACAACTAGATTTTCATATCCTAAGAGAAAACCAATTTCGTATTATAGTAACGAAAACACGATGTATATATTATTACTATATAATAAAATGTGAAAGAGAATCTACGAACAGGAAAACGATAAAGATTAAGATTGTAGGAGGCTTTGAGAATAGAAAAAAGAAATACGACAACGTGCCGTCGAGGGTGCTAAAATAAAGGAGCACGATAGAAAGAAAAAATAAAAGGAAAAAAAAAAGATAGATAGAAAGAAGTGAGCCCGTGTCGGTTGACATTTTCCGGTGGTTAAGTTAATAATGCGCACGGTACACAGAGCAGGAGAGCAAGGATGAGATGAGCGTCAACGAGGGTGAATCGGCAAAGTGCCATCATAAAGAGGCGCGGATGTGTTTATTCGGGAATTTGCCTTTTCTCTTCTTCTTCTTCTTCTTCTTTCCTCTTTTCGTTCTACGCCTTGAAGCTACTAGGAAGGGAGTAGTAGTACGAGATATTATCTTATTTTCGAGGACGATCTCGTCTCTCTCGCAGCCCGATTTATATCCTTTCGGTTGCTAGTGGTAATGGTGGTGGTGGTAGTGGTGGTGGTGGTAGTGGTGGTGGTGGTAGTGGTGGTGGTAGTGGTGGTGGTGGTGGTGCTTTGAGGAACGAGGGAAAAAGTGAAAGGGAAAAGATCAGAGGAGAGAAATAAAAAAAAGGATGGGAAAGATTGGAAAGAAGTTACACGGATAATAGATGGGGTGGGGTGGGGTGGGGGAAATTCCGTGCAGTATTCACTACGCAATTATTTTCCCTTAAAGTTTTCATGAAAGAGTTTTTTAAGATCGTCCGCTATTGGTCAGTTGACCGATGGAAGAGTGTACGAAGAATCTGAGACGAGATGAGAGAAAGAGGAAAAAGAAAAAAAAAAGAGGAAGAGATGGGAAGAGATGAGGAAAGAAGGATTAGCCTCGTCAAGTGGGAGAGTCCGTGACAAAGACGTTAAAGTGGTTTAAGGGGGATGAGATATATCGTCCGAAATCTGGGGTGAAACACTCACGTTTCCAGCCTCGCGTTGTTCTCTGCCATGACTGCGACACTAATGGCATTTTTATTATTTCTCTCTTGAGTCTGATAGAGAGAGAGAGAGAGAGGTAATGGTCCGTCTCTATGGTTCATTGGACATGTGACAGGATCGACAGCTTCTCACCTTTACTTCTCGTTCGTGTTTCAGCGTCGTTTGCTTTACCGTACAAAGATTCTCGAAAGAAACGCAACGGAAAATGATAGAAGATCTAATGTCAGAGAGGAAAATAAAATGTTGAATTTGATCAATCCGAACGATCGAAAACTACGTTGATGGGTTGATTATATTTTTGTGTTCACCGAGATATCGATAAAACACCACCTTCATAGGTGTAACGCAATAAAGAATTGGAATAGATTGAAAGTATAGGAAATATAATATATAAAGATAGTTTGTAAATTGTCGCATTAATAAATAAAGATGCCAGGAGAGGTGGATTAACGATAAAAGTCGAGCTTTTAGAAAGATTCCGAAAATGTTGGTACCTCTGGCGTAAGGTAACAAATCATGAGTAGCACGAGGTACGACGTAGCCGGTGGTACGGTTATCCCCACACCTCGTGCGTTCCTATGAAGCCCGTTGGGCTCCGTTAGGTTTTGATGAATGAGCCTCGCATAAAGCTGAAGTATGGTAAAAGCCGCCGACGTTGCCACCGTTGCCGCGACCACCACCGTAATATTCTATCCTGGGTATGCTTTTAGAATCGCTAATGACTAATGGCACCCGCTAAGAAGCACCATCCTTCGATGGATGTTGCTCCGCGATTCATGGATTAGCAGAGTTTCGCGTGATTCGAGCTTGCGTAGTAGGGTTAATATTCTCCGCGATCGAAGATATTTCTACGAAAAATTAAATTACACACATTAGTTAGTAGTTTTCATAATT